CAACTGACAAGGGATTAATTTTCAAAATATACAAACAACTCATGCAGTTCAATATCAAAGAAAACAAACAACTCTATCAAAAAACTAGGCAGATGATCTAAATAGATGTTTCTCCAAAGAAGGCAAACAGATAACCAAAAAGTTCATGGAAAATGCTCAACACTGTTAACTATTATAGAACTGCAAATCAAAACTACAACGAGGTATCACCTCACACAAGTAAGAATGACTATCATCAAAAAGTCTATAAATACTGGAGAGGGTGTGGACAAAAGGGAACCTTCCCACTCTGTTGGTGGGCATGTAAATTGGTACAGCTACTATGGAGAACAATATGGAGGTTTCTTTAAAATCTAAAAATAGAGCTACCATGTGATCCAGCAATCCCACTCCTGGGTATATATCTGGAAAAAAACATAATTCAAAAAGATACATGCACCTCAGTGTTCATTGTAGCACTATTTACAAGACATGAAAGCAACCTAAATGTCTACCAACAAAGGAATGGATAAAGATGTGGTACATACATACAATGGAATATTAGTCAGCCATAAAAAAACAAAATAATGTTGTTTGCAACAACATGTGTGGACCTGCAGATTATCATACTACCTGAAGTCAGAGAAAAACAAATATATGGTATCACTTTTATGTGGAATCTAAAAAAAAATGATACAAATGAACTTATTTACAAAACAGAAACAGACTCACAGACTTAGAAAACAAATTTAAGGTTGCCAAAGTGAAAAGGTTAGGGGGAGGGATAAATTAGGAGGTTGGGATTAACATATACATACCACTATAAATAAAACATAATTAACAAGGATCTGCTATATAGCACAGGGAACTCGAATATTCTGTAATAATCCATATGGGAAAAGAATAGATACATGTAAATGTATAACTGAATCACTTTGCTGCACATCTGAAACTAACACAACATTGTAAATCAGCTATGAATCTTTGTGTTAGTTGCTCAGTCCTGTCAGACTCTTTAGATCCCACAGACTGTAGCCCGCCAGGCTTCTCTGTCCATGGAATTCTTCAGGCAAGAATGCTGGAGTGGGTTGCCATTGCCTTGTCCAGATCTTTCCAACCCAGGGATCGAACCTGGGTCTCCTGCATTGCAGGCAGATTCTTTACACTCTGAGCCACCAGGGAAGACGTATACTCTAATATAAAATAAAATTAAAAAAAAAATAGGTGAAGTTTAAGCCAGTAATATACACTAACACAATTTTTAATTTTTACTGTAATTAGTACATTGAAGGCAAATAGTGCTGCTAAAGAGTGTTTTGCTGTCTTGATAAATTAAATGGCCCATCTAAATCCTTATTCATATTTAATTTGGCTAAGCAATCTGTTTCCTCACAGACGGTACCAAGGTAAAGTTCAGCTCAGTTCTTGTGTGCATTAGCAGGATTTAAATTACTGAGATTTTACTGTGGAGACTGAATCAGCATGCTGGGTTGAAATTTCTGTTGTGAACATCTAATTATCCCAGTTACAAGGATATTGCCTTTAGAATGTTAAATAACATTCACTTCATGGTTTCTTTTACTTTTGTTCAGCAAAAGATTCAAAATTGACTCCATTATATTGGGGATTTGAAGTTATATTTTAAACAATTCATGATTGACAATTTGCCCACGGGCATCTCTTTTATCTTAAAGATAGAGGTTTCCCTGAGGCCACACAAAAGCGTCAAGTGGTGTAAATAGTATTTCATCACTGTATGTGTCTCTTTCTTTTTTTCTCTCCCCTTCATTTCTCCCTCCCTCCTCTCCTCTTTTCTTTCTTTCTTGCCACTTGGCCTTCTTGAATAGGAATTATAGCTTGTTTTGGATACATTCTATAAATGTTGCTTTATAGAACATCCAGCCTAGATACCAGAATTGGGGTGGTAATTGCCAGTTTGGGTTTTTTGGTTCAGATCTTAATTATACCTTGATCAGAGCAAATTCCCACTCTAAATAAAGTCACAGAAATTCCTGAATTGTTTACAATGCAAAACCCACCATATAGCACACAGGATAGACACAGAGAGGCCCTGATCCTTATGAACCACCCTCCACCAACAACAAGGTGAAAGCCTTTCCCAGGTCTGGCTGAGAAGAACACCTCAGTCCAGCTTCTGATCTTGGTCCTCTTTCCTCGGCTGCTCTTCCACAATCCATCCTGGCTCAATTAATTGTACTCAATTAATTGTATACTTTGATTCACAAGAAACTGTTCTCTTGTTTATCTGAATAATATCTGTAAGAATTTTTCTGTCTCTGTCTTTATGCCTCAAAGTGAAACTTTAAGAAAATGAGAGATTTCACTAACTGGGTGCTATCAGATAAATTCATGCAAATACTTGAGTTGCAACCCACAACCATGTAAAAATGTTCTAGCAATCGCAGATTACACAGTATTTCCTCACTGCTGTGGAGGAGTACTGCTCGCAGATGGTTCTGGATGTCTCTTGTCTTTTGCTGGGATGGACCTAACTTTAGCAGAGGCTCTGCCTTTAAGGCTAATACTTTGGCCACCTGGTGGGAAGAGCCAATTCATTGAAAAAGACCCCGATGCTGGGAAAGACTGAAAGCAGGAAGAGAAGTGGACGAAAGAGGATGAGATGGTTGGATGGCATCACTGATTCAATGGACATGAGTGTGAGCAAGCTTCACGACATGGTGAAGGACAGGGAAGCCTGGCGGGCTACAGTCCATGGGGTCACAATGAGTTGGCATGACTAAGCAACTGAACAACTGCCTTTAAGCATGCCCCCTCCCCCCATTTTTTGGGAAACACCTCCTAGAATATTTTCCCCTAGATATCCATCTTGGAGAGGGCAATGGCAACCCACTCCAGTACTCTTGCCTGGAGAATCCCATGGACGGAGGAGCCTGGTGGGCTGCAGTCCATGGGGTGGCGAAGAGTCGGACATGACTGAGCGGCTTCACTTTCACTTTTCACTTTCATGCATTGGAGAAGGAAATGGCAACCCGCCCCAGTATTCTTGCCTGGAGAATCCCGGGGACAGAGGAGCCTGGGGGGCTGCTGTCTATGGGGTTGCACAGAGTCGGACATGACTGATGCAACTTGGCAACAGCAGCAGCAGATAGCCGTTTAGTGCACTCTTTTAGCTCCCTCAAGTCTGTTCAAATCTTGTCTTTTCACTGGAACTTCCCACTAGATGCTGCAACCCTCCCTATCTCCCCTGCCCTGTTTATCCTGCTGTGTTTTTTCTTTTATCCATAGCTCTTCTCTCCTTCTAACCTACTATGTGTACACATGGGCCCACTCAGTTGTGTCCGACTCGAGGCCCCATGGACTGTAGCCCCCTAGATGCCTCTGTCCATGGGATTTTTCTGAGCAAGAATACTGGAGTTGGTAGCTATTCCCTTCTCCAGGGGATCTTCCCCACCCAGGGATCGAACCTAGGTCTCTGGTGTCTCCTGCATTGGCAGGCGGGTTCTTTACCACTGAACCACTGGAAGCCTCTAACTTACTATAGCATCAGTTATATTCATTGTGCTCATTGTCAAACTTCTCTCTTACCCTGAAAAACAAGTTCTAGGAAGATGAGACTCTTTTTCTATTTTATTCTCAGGCATGGCTCAAGTGCCCAGGATAGTCTGGGACATAGTAGGTAGTCAATAAATATTTTGTTGAATGAATTTAACAAATGAAACCTAGCAAATCATAATTGCTAATATTTGTGTATATTTCCTGGTATTTTGAGTGTTGCACTAAGTCTTTTTTAATGCATTACTTTATTGGATTCTTCCAACTACTCTGAGATGTTGGTATCACTTTTTGCTGTTGTTTAGTCACTCAGTCGTGTCCAACTCTTTTGCGACCCCATGGATTGTGGCCTGCCAGGCTCCTCTGTCCATGGAACTTTCCAGTCAAGAATACTGGAGCAGTTTGCCATTTCCTCCTCCAGAGGATCTTCCTGACTGAGGGATGGAATCTGCATCTCCTGCATTGGCAGGTGGATATATATATATATACATATATATATATATATTTTTTTTAACTGCTGAGTCACCTGAGAAGCCCTTGGTATCACTTTACCTGAGGTAAAACTGAAGTTTAGAGATAGAATCATGTATGAAAAATTACTCAGCTAGTCAACAATAGACCAGGGATTGGGGCCAGACATGCCTACACTGCATCTGGGTCCTTTATTATTCTTTTATAACAACCTATAGCAGGACCAGCTGTGTAGTTGGTGGGGCTCAATGCAAAAGGAAAATTCAGGGCCCCTTGTTCAAAAGCTGTTAGGATTTCAAGACTGCAGCAGTGGAGCATTGAGCCAAATGTGGGGCCCGGTGTGGCTGCAGACGCTCTATGTTCCTGAAGCTAGCAGCAGTCTAACACGTGTACACACCCTAGCAGCAAGGGGCAGGCACTGCCTTTTTAACCCCTCTGGGCCCATTTCACGGTGGGTGACACTCATTCTGTTACTGACCCTTTCCAGTCGGGTCCCAGCTAGGGTCCTCCTGCCCACTGTCATTTGTGACAATAGAATGAGACGGGGTTTGGTTCAGAAGCAAAGGTCTTTGATCTCTATCCTTTCATCAGAGATCGGAGCCGGGCGAGCTCAGAGCAAATGCTCTTCACAAAGGCGGTGGGCGGGGCTGTTATCGGGATCTCACTAGTGGGGAGGGGCTGCAGCTGTGCTGCCCCTGCTCGAGGTCCAGGTCAGGGTGCGGGGCGTCTCTGCACACGGCCTGCTGCCACCGTCTTGGACTGAGGTGTCGTGTGCGGCGTCTCTGCACACGGCTCGCTGCCACCATCTTGAGTCCCAGAGTCGAGCGCGGCTCTTGAGGTGAGGTTTCCGTTGCTGACAGGCGGCTCTAGGAACTCGGGTCTGAAGTGCCGGGTGTGGGACCTCTGCCCGTGGCACCCTGTGAGCCAGTGAAACTCACTAAGCACAAGGGAAATGAAAAGAAAAAAAAATTAGACTCTATTACCCAGGTTCTATTTTAATTTCCTAGGGGTTGTTAATGGGCTTTGCCGTGACAATTCCAGTTTTAAATTTCGAACCGGAAGGAACATCAGAGCTTGGTTCACTGCTATCATTTGACAGGTGAGGAAACAGTCTCACAGAAGTGCTGTTTATAAAGGCAAAAACTTTATAAGAGGCTTTAAAGGTAAAGCAGGTGCCGCAAGCAGCCCACGTGGTATTTAAAGAGACCAGAGCAACCGAAAGGCTTTTTAAATTTTTTTACTGTAATCAACAGAGAATCATTGGTAAGATTTCAATGACTGATATTTGTCAGTGACTTATTTTTTAAAAAAAACTAAAGAGAATTTGACGGTATCCTTATGATGATGTTGCTCTCAATTTTCTGAAGGAAAAAAGTGGAGTGCCTCACATTTATAAATATTATTTGTCTGGTGTATTTGGTGGGACAAAAAATTGAGCATACAGATTCAGATGGTTGTCCCAGGTTGAAATATCTGCCCCTCCCCCCCCCCCCCCCATATGCTTCCCTACCCGGTTCTTCTCAGGTTTCAGTGTCTGCTTGAAATCAGACCTCCTCTATCAAACCTTCTGGATAAGGCAATGGCACCCCACTCCAGTACTCTCGCCTGGAAAAATCCCATGGATGGAGGAGCCTGGTGGGCTGCAGTCCATGGGGTCGCTAAGAGTCGGACATGACTGAGCGACTTCACTTTCACTTTTCACTTTCATGCATTGGAGAAGGAAATGGCAACCTACTCCAGTGTTCTTGCCTGGAGAATCCCAGGGACGGGGAGCCTGGTGGGCTGCCGTCTATGGGGTTGCACAGAGTCGGACACGACTGAAGCGACTTAGCAGCAGCAGCAGCATCAGACCTTCATTTCAACTCAATCTTCATTAAATGGTACTTTGCCCAAGGCACAATCTACAGATGTGATGCTTAAAGTTTTTGGTCTCAGGACCTTAAAAATTATAGAGGAGCCTTAAAAGCCTTCATTGCGGCACCCAGCATCTTTAGCTGGGGCTTGCAGGATCTAGTTCCCTGACTGTTACCTAAAGGAGTGTGGGGTCCCGGGGTTGCTGTTCACAAGCCAATAAACAAGCCAGTTTGGTGGAAAGGAAAGTTTACTTTATTTCAGATGCTGGCAACTGTGGGGGGAGGGTGCGGACATATGTTCAAAGGCTGACCCCTACCCCCCAACCCCGCCCCTGACAACCAGTGGGGCAAGAGTTTTTATAGACAGAAGGACAGGGTTACCTGCAGAAACAGCATAGTTAGCTCTGACAGTCATTTTCAAATTGGTCAATGGTGGTTTGACCAGAGTCATCTTGGTTGTTTCAGGTACAGTTAATCTTCAGTTCCAGGGTCCATTTATCCTCATTTCTTTGAGGCCAGTTCTTGGAATTATAGCAGCTTATGTCATGGTACAGTCTGGTCATCATGTAGTTAACTACTCCCACCTGAAGAAAGTGAACATGTTTATTAGTCGCTCAGTCGTGTCTGACTCTTTGCAACCCCACGGACTATAGCCTGCCAGGCTCCTACATCCATGGGATTCTCCAGGCAAGAATACTGGAGTGCTAGCCATTCCCTTCTCCAGGGGAACTTTCCTGATCCAGGGAGTGAACCCAGGTCGCCCACATTGCAGGCAGATTCACAGATTCTTTACCGTCTGAGGCATTAGGGAATTTTAGGATCTGTAAGACAGCTCACAGTATATGCCTCAGATTATTATCTATAGTTCTTGAGAAGGAGCTAAAGAACTATGCTTAATGACAACATTGTTATCATCTGGTCTCCTTTGTCTGTTTTCCTTTGTTTTTGTCTGTTCTCATTTTCCCGATTAAACTTATTCTTTGACTCAAATTTTCCACAGGCAAAGGCAGGCAGAGGACATGGTGCTGGGGTGGGGGGTAGTATCAAGGACTTGTTTCATGACCAAGGATCAAACCCAGCCCCCCTGCCCCCACTGGAGCAGCAGCCCCTGGACCACCAGGGAAGTCCCAAACTTATACATTTTTTCTTTTCTTTATAAAAAAATCTCTTGGCTGTGCCGCTTGTGGGGTCATAGTTCTCTGACCAGTGATCAATTGAACCCATGCCTCCTGCAGTGGAAGCACAATTTTAACCACTGGCCTACCAGGGAAGTCCCTTATTGTGGTTTTGATTTGCATTTCCCTAGAGACAATGGTGTCGAACATCTTTTCATGTGGAAAATAGTTTTGACCTTGCAGTTTCCTACTGTAGATAGTGTCAAGTCTTAGGGTATCCCTGACCTTTCCGGAGCTTCCCATAGTGTTTATACAGTAAGTAATGTGATTGTCTTAACCTCTGTTTGGTGCAACACCTTGTATATCTTGATTAATTACTTGCTTGTCCAAATTCATTCCTTCTTTTCTACAGAGAAATGCAAATTTATTTAAGAGGATGATGTGTCTCTTTAAAAATAGTCACCTCCTTAGGGGGTCTCTTCAGCTAAGAGTGACCATGTGACCCAGGCTTGGTGGCATAATCAAAGTCTACAGGGAAGGACCTCGAGGAAAGTTTTTGTTTATCTGATAAGAAGGGATAGTTTCAGCTGGGCTATGCCCTTTCCCTTCTTCTCTTCCATTTTCTTCCAGCTTGGGATGTAGACACATTTCTGTATGTGGGGTATGCATCCTGCAACCCTTGGGATGAGAACCCACAGTAAGGACAGAGGAGCAAGAAGCCAGAAGGAGCCTGGGCCCTTGATAACTTCCTCAAGTATCTGCCCTAGTCTGCTGATACTTAGACTTTCGGTTCAGCTTATAAAGCCTGATTTGGTTAAGCTGATATAGTGGGCTTTTGTTACATATGACCCAGAGGGATACTAACTGACGTGTTATAGAAGTGTAAAAAGCCCTGACAGATGAGATTCTAGAACCAAGTCAACCTAAGGAGAGAGAAGGAGACAGAGAAGAAAAGAAACTGGGTCTGTCACAGACCCTCCAGCATGGGGAAACATCTCTAGATAAGAGGCTAAGCTGCCTTTCACTTCTCATCTCATTTACTGCCTGTTCCTGCTTGTGCAGCCTCCTCCTGCGCCAGTGGGCACCTCTTCTCTTAGGGGCCCGTTAGCTATGAGGAACTTCCCTCATAGCTCAGTTGGTAAAGAATTGGCCTGCAATGCTGGAGACCCTGGTTTGATTCCTGAGTCGGGAAGATCTGCTGGAGAAGGGGTAGGCTACCCACTCAAGTTTTCTTGGGCTTCCCTTGTGGCTCAGCTGGTAAAGAATCTGCCTGCAATGTGGGAGACCTGGGTTCAATCCCTGGGTCGGGAAGATCCCCTGGAGAAGAAAATGGCAACCCACTCCAGTACTCTTGCCTGGAAAATTCCATCAATGGAGGAATCTGGTGGGCTTCAGTCCAAGGGGTCGCAAAGAGTCAGACATGACTGGGCGACTTCACTTCATTTCTTCTCTTAGAAGTTTGGGGCATGGTGCTTGGATAGTCAGTCTTCCTTGAGGAATTGTTTTAAACATCGTGAATTTGAGGCTAATTGACAAAACACAGTCCCCGAATCATTAGCCTAAGCATCTGTCCTTGCAGAATGGCTGCCCTAGCAGTGAGAAATGACCTTGACTATCCTTAAAGGGTAAGGGTAGAATATTGGGAATAAAATCTTTTTGATACTTTTTTGAATAATGAGGTTCTGAAAATATCTAGCTCCTTTAAATTTCTTGATTTATTGTGTAATAAGACAAATAGGAAACAAAAGGAATTTACTTTCATGAAAAATCTAATCATATAAATACTTAGGTCCATGTAGCAAACTTGGGCTGCTTTGTTCATTAATCCTATGCTGTGGATGAATGTTGCCATGTATTTGCTTTCTTTTCAGGTCATTTAAGCTTATTGATTCTTCCTTCTGTACTGTAGAACTCAACTCTCTAAGGACTGGTTAGAAAAACATTTCCCACTCACACAGTGCCATTTAAAAATGATTATGCTCATTGTCTTCAGCTTAAAGTTTCCCTTCTTGGCTTCCATATGCTAGCAGTTTGTACACCTCTCTTTTATGCTTTATTTTTTTAGGGCCCATTCCAAGATGTTCAGCCCTTTCGGTAACATTCCTTCTGCCTTCTCCTGGTGCAAAACAGCGAGAGAGACAAGGGCTATGCCAGATGAGCTGCAGAGAGGTTTTTTCCAGCAACTGAAAGTTTCTGGGGGACATATATTCAACTGTAAGTAATCATGTGTTGTCTTTTGGCTCAAAAGTAAAATGCTAAGTTACGCATTAGTTGTTGCATAAATTTGCATATTGATCTATACAATCCTGACGACTTTAATAGCATCACAGATTAGCAGACACAGATGCTCACACACACACACACAGGCTGACATTCAGAGACTCCCACCCAGAGACAAACCAAGCCTGGGAATGAGCTGGGGATGGTTCCATGAGATCAAGGAGGATTGGAAGGGCTCTAAAGGAAAAACAGAGGGCCTGGGAGGACAGAACTTGCACACTGGTTCTCTCTCCTTGGCCAACAGATCACTGTAAGTTACCAGCCCTAGTTTCCAACTTTCTTGTCATCTCCTTTGACCTTTAGGGGAGTGTGGAGAGGGCAGAAGAGATGGCTTATAAAGGTTTGGCATGAATCAGAAGGCCCAAAAGTAGTCTGAGATTCAAAGGAGCATTTGAACTTGTAATAGGTGGGCTCTTACAGGATGTTTCTTGTTTCTTGGTTTGCTTTTGTTCTTCTAACGCCTTGAGTGGGGCATCCAAAGACAGGACCAAACCTTAGCTGCTTGGACATCTAGAGCCCTTTGCCACTTCACCAGCAATGATCCGGCCTTGAATTAAGATCCCACACTGCATTAATTTGTAAACAGAAGCACTGACTTATTAATTTTCTATGGAAAATGTATGTCATGAAGATCTAGGTGTTTGCCACTGAATAGTCTATTCTCTCCTAGGAACCCGGACACCTGAAAAACCTCATTACATATTAGGACAAAGGGCAAAGAATTCCTTAAGGAGTATCTTCCATGTGCTTCAAGAGGCTGCATGGTGCCGCCTCCACAATAATTATACACTTGCCAAATGGCCTCTGTTCAGTGATGGAAATATATTTTCAAATTTTTAGTCTCAGCTTCTCATGGTTAGTTATTCCAATCATCTCTTTTTGTGTGTGTGTTTATATTGGTCATTGCAAAATCAACAACTTTCGATTGCAATGCACATCTTTTATTTCATAAACATTTAGCTCTCAATATAGGCTAGACGCTACCAAAGACATTAGGTACTGCAGTGGAGACAAAGTAAGACATGGGCCAGGCCCTGAACAAGCTCACAATGACAAAAGGAGGATTACACATGACTGTGCCCCAGGAGGGAAGGGGGATTACTTTAGAGAAATATTCAGAGAATGCTACAAGGATTCAAGGATGAGCCATTAAATCTGTTTGCTGAGATGGAAGGAGGCTGGTTCATTGATGAGGTGGCATTTAAGATCAGACATGAAGATTGGGTGTGATTTTAACAAGCAGAGACATTGAGATGGGGTGGGAGGGAGTAGGGGAGAGAGAAGAGGAAGGACAGCTGAGATGTAGCCCACACTGAACACAGGAGAGCATTTTGTTCAGATGTGTGCCTCATGCTTAGGTTTGCTGTATAGTGGGGAAACCTGCTGGCGGCCATGGGCTGCATAGTCTTAGCGCCTGGAGCTTCATTCTGTGGGCACAGGGCACACCCAGCTGTTTGCACAATAGAGACCTGTGATCCATGGTTCTGACGGTTACTTTGGTCTCAGTGTACACAAGGGACCAGAGAGAAAGTTGAGGGTGAGGAGGTCAATGTGGAGGTTTACTGCAGGATTTCAGATCAGAGATAATGAGGTCCTGCCCGAACAGGAAGGCAGCAGTGGAAATAAAAAAGGTAGAGGCAATGCAAGAGGTATTGTAAACATAAAATCTGTAAGTCTTGGTAATGAACTGGATGCAGTAGGTAGAAGGATGAACTAACATTTATTGAAAGCTGTGCTAAGCCCTTTAGCACATGTATTAACATGTGTTAACTTATTTGATCCTTCTAATAACTCCATGAAGTAGATACTATTAGTATCACCATTTAACAGATAAGAAAATTGAGGCATTTCTGGAGATTATATATCTTCTCCAGAATTCCAACCCATGTCTCACCAGCGGTCATTCATCCTGCCTTCTGTGGTGCTCTGCTCATTCCTACCCCACGTGTGTGCATGCTATGTGGCTTCAGTCGTGTTTGACTGTGCATTGGCAGGAAGGTTCTTCTTTACCACTAGCACCACCTGGGAAGCACTCCAACCCCACACCTTTCACCATGTATTTCCCAGCTGGATGGTTTCTCCTCTGCCCGTTCAATAAACACATGCCAATTGAATCCCCTCTTGTCCTGACTCACAGAAGCAAAGGGAAAGTAACCACAGTCCCTGGAAACAACTTTGTTATTGTCACTGAAACAAAATAGGTAGTGGTTTTAAAAAGCAACACAAAACTCTACCATTGTATTCAATTTAAAAAAATTCCATAACAGCAGTTGGTATCATGATTAAGGTTTCCATTTTATTTATTACTTTGTTATGGTAAAACAAAACAAAACAAATCCTGCCTGAATTATCTTCCATGTGTCAGTAGAAAGGCATTTTTCATATCAGTATTCTTCCTGCAACGTGGATAGTTTTTTAATCAATCTGATCTTAATTCATTGGCTTTGGTCTCTTGGACTTTGGGTTCAGTTCAAGCTGTTCTAGGATAATTAAAGATCATCTTCCTTTCTGTAGAATGGCTTATGGGCTCTTTCTAGCTCTATTCGGTTCTCAGGATTAGACTTTTGCTTCAACTGTTCTTTCTGTTTTCTTTTTCATGCTGAAACTACAGCACTGAAAATTCTTGATTAGAATTCAGGTACTCTGAGGGTAATCATAGTGTCACGTTTTTAAACACATGGTATGCCAGCAGCTTTCGGAGTGACAAAATGCAGGTTTATCGTGTAATTACAGTTTGTCCTCTATAAGTAAGGAACTAATTTTGCCAAAAAACAAAACGTTGGCCTTGTTTTTGAAAATTGAAGAGTCTTTATGACTTACAGGAAACCTATTTCATTGTCCTAATAATTGCAGTAGTCACTGTGGTTATCAGTTAACTGCTTCCGTATATTACAAACAAGAGCAGAAATTGCAGAATCAGCTAAACCATGTGAGTGCGTGTGTGCACACGTGTGTGAGTGTGCTTATGCATATGTCTAAGATATCATGTGTGTATGTGTATAAATCTGTATGTGCTGTGCTTAGTTGCTCGGTCATGTCTGACTCTTCTGTGACCCCATGGACTGTAGCCCACCAGGCTCCTCTGTCCATGGGACTCTCCAGGCAAGAATACTGGAGTGGGTTGCCATGCCCTCCTCTCGGGGATTTTCCCAACACAGGGATCAACCCAGGTCTCCCTCATTGCAGGTGGATTCTCTACCATCTGAGCCACCAGGGAAGCCAAGAATACTGGAGTAGGTAGCCTATCCCTTCTCCAGGGGATCTTCCCGACCCAGGAATCAAACCAGGGTCTCCTGCATTGCAGGTGGATTCCTAACCAGTTGAGCTGCCAGGGAAGCCCGTAAATCTGTGTAATTCTGTATAAATCTGAGCTCCAAATACCTATATTGTGATAGTGGTAAATGCCCCCTGCTACTGTGTGGTGAGTTATTTGGAAGCTATTTTGCTGCGAAACAAAAGCCTTCATGATATTATGAGGTACCAGTGTGGAAAGGCCTCAGCTCTTCTAAAGGTGCTCTTCTTTTTATTTTACCCCATATCACTGTAAACCAGAGTTTCCGTCATTTGCTTACCACCTGGAATTCTTTTTTAATAAGAAGCCAATCTTAAAGGGCTAATTATTTAAACAAAACAGGGTTTGTGTTGGATGTTTTCTTTTAATCCAAACATCTTGCCCTTTTTTCATCCAGAGGATAGTTTCAGTGTTGGTTAGGTTCTTACTATTTTTTTTTCACTTATTTGGCATAGAAATAAAATGTTGATAGTTTTTGAGGATGAGACACCAAGGACAGGGATCTAGTTGCATGCTCAGTTGCTCAGTCATATCTGACTCTTTGTGACCCCATGGACTGTGGCCACCAGTTTCCTCTATCCGTAGGATTCTGCCTCTATCCATAGAATTCTATCATGGGGCTGCCATTTCCTCCTCCAGGGGATCTTCCCCATGCAAGGATCAAACCCTCATCTCCTGTGTTAGCAGGCAGATTCTTTGCTATTGTGCCACCTGGGAAGCCAGGGAACTAGTTATTTAGTTAGTGCCAATAATAAGCAATAACGGCTTCTTAATGGATTCATCTTGCCTAAATCCTGCCTAAATAGATTCATTTAGGCTCTAGTATATAATTTTCTTCTATAGCCAGTGGCTCTGCAGCTTCATGTTGCATCAGAATTGCCTGGAAATTAAAAGAAAAGTGTAATGCCCAGAGAGTCAGACTTAATGGGTGTGAGGGGGCCCAGTGCATCCATATTGCTTAAAAGCTCACCAGATAATTCTGATGATTGGAATATTGAAAACCACAATTCCAGACCCTAGACTACTGGTTTCAAAATCACATTAGATCACCTTGAGACCTTTTAAAAAAATGCTGATGCTGAGGCCCCATTTTGAGACCAAATATATCAGACTATCTGGGATGGGGCTAACACTCTGGGTATTTATTAGAAGTTCTTCAGGCAATTAGAATGTATTCTCAAGATTGAAAACTGTTTGTCTACACTGGATTATGCCAATCTTCATGATGTAGATTTTACTAAAGCATCAGTAAGAAAGTACTATAAAGCCTTCTGTTGCATGCCGTGCAATGTAGCTTCTAAAATATTCCTTTTTATTTACACCTTTGCTTTTCTCCAAAGTTCGTTTTGCTAAAGATTCATCTCTCTCTTCTTTCTTTCTCCCTCTCCCAGAAGTCCTTTTCCCCCAGTAGCATTTCAAGACACTCTCTCCCATAGCCATGCCTTTTTTTCTCTAAACTGCTTCTCAAATCAAACTCAAGAAAACATCTTGTATTCCTCACTTATACATCAGAAGCCTCAAGTTATCCTCCCAAAATTAGGACTAAATTATTTATGTATTGCATTTCAGAAAGCTATAAGGCTAGAAGGAAAATGGAACCCTTACACCAGGAGAGATAACTTGTAGATAAAGCTAAAAATAC